ATGCATTCAAAGAGAAAATTAGGACAACAGTTACCCAAAACTCGTACATAACACAGAAATGTGAAGAAAAAAATGAAACATTTCATTGAGAATGACATCCAACATCAAGAAAATCCAGTAACCTTCAAAAAAATTCCTTATCTCTATCAAATGGGTCGCTTTACGTAGTGATAAACGAGTGGTGAGTGTTAGAACCAAATCATAATAAATATGAAATAAAAACCATGATTTATTCATGTCAAATCATCAAGAATAAAAATCTTAAATGCGGAAGCGTACTTGAATTAATTGATAGGTTGAAATATTTGAATCTTTTTTTGATTGTGATCTTCCAAGAAGTAGAATTCCCTTGAGTATAAACTCTCTGTCGTAGATAAGAATAAATACGAGATTGTCTATTTCTTGAGAACCATAACTCCTTTTTCCCCTCTTGCACACAATGAAAAATGAGTTAATTTAGAGTTCATTTCTCCCATTAAGGTTATTAAACTCTATAGTGAAATCACAAGAATGAGTAATTCTTTAGAAAATTTTAATCTTAAGTGTCTTAAGTCTTGAAGCAATAGGAAACATATCCATAATGTACTCCCTCACAATTCCTTGACCCTTATACTTTATTGACATGAAAAAATTAAAAAAACGATGTCATTTAAACCTTATTATTTTTGGGAAAACATTTTTCAATTTCATCAAGGAAACCATTAGCCTTAGTAACCTTTTTAGATTATGTGCTCCTAAAGGCTTCTAAATAGTGTGCTTCATGACCATTAAACTTATGAAATTTTTAAAAATTTCTCCTCTCAAAATCTCTTATACCAATTAAGGATGTCATCCCCCATGAGAGGTGAAAATTGTTCTTTTCTTAGTGCAAAGTTTATGTTCATACAACCAAAAACTTTATATAAGTGCATTTTATCATTCCTTGAGATTCATTTTCTTAAGCATGAGCAGGAAATGTATAATATCAAATATTTTTATGGAAATAAATAAATAATTAGTTGAATACTAAACAAAACATAAATAAAATTGAAGCTCACATCTTAAGTAAACAAATAAATTTAAAATTATGGCTAATTCCCATCTTAAGATACCAAACACTATATCAATATTAAGTCTTTGGACAATCATATTAACGGTAAACGATACTCTTGTTGTAGTAATCAACATTGACAATAAACTATGTCGAACAATAGACGAATGTAATGCTCCCATAAAGTACCTTATAATTGTCACATATTATTACCACAATTATCTCTTGAAATTCGGCCAAATATTAACTTTCCTTTGGTTCTATTAATAAACGCATAAATTACAAGAAACACATAATCATTTTGATATTCTAAATAAATTAGTTTACACAAAAGAGGTCACTTTGGCAGTATTATGTTTCAACTAATCTATCAAAATATAAGACATAGTCATAATATGAATTAATTTGTTTTAATATATATATATATTCTATTAACCAACAATCAAAACTAAAAAACCGAATTGAATATATATGTAATACCCTAAAAATTTGACTAGTGAATAAAATGTAACTTTTGAAAGGTTGGTGGCTAAAGTAAAAAATTGGGAAAAATTTAAAGACCAAAGTGGTAATTTTCTTCGAAAGAAATTTTATTCCACAAATAATTAGTTTATCCTTAAGAATGATTTCTCTATGAAATTCATATTTTGATCCAAAATTTGTATGCAAAGTTATGAAGCAATAAAGTTTGATAAAGTATTTGGATAATTAAATCGATTCAAAAGTTTACAAAAATTGAAGGATGATGGAAAAAGGTTATAAATATTATTTCTATATTTTAGAATGAAGATATTTGACATGGATCCTTGGAATTTAGATGGATTTTCCATGATAAGTTGAAATTATAAATTTTAGTGACTAAATTTTAGTTTTCAAAAATTACAAAAGGAAAAGGTGGAAAGTGAATTATATTTGTTTATATTTGACTTTTTGATTATTAAAATGAAAGATATTATTGTGGCAAATGGTAATTATCATGATTTTTAAAGGATAAAGTTGTAATTATGTATTTAAGAAAAAAGTTATAAATATTATTTCTATATTTTAGAATGATGAAATTTGACATGGATCCTTGTAATTTAGATGGATTTTCCATGATAAGTTGAAATTATAAATTTTAGTGACTAAATTGTAATTTTCAAAAATTACAAAAGGCAAAGGCGGAAAGTGAATTATATTTATTCATGTTTGACCTTTTAATTATTAAAATGGAATATATTATTCAGGCAAATGGTAATTATCATGATTTTTAAAGGACAAAGTTGTAATTATGTATTAAATTAATATTAATTAATATGTTAACAAGTGTACATAGATATTTTTGTAGAAAAATCAATAAAACTCCTTTTTCTCCCTATAAATTTCGTGCACTATAAATAAAATAAGAAACAATGTATGTTTTCTTTCTTTTTCTTCATTTTAGTCTTTTTTTTCATTTGATTTTTGGATTAAGTTATGAAATAGAAAAATAATCTATATTAAGTTCTCTATCAATTGATAAGAATATTATATGGTTTCCATGCTTGAATCAATGGTTTGATTGTTAGAGTGAATGATGAATAAGTAGGATTTTAATGCTTTAAGGATGGATTTTTATGTTGTTATTATTGTAGAGATGTTTTCAAGCTTGGATGATGATTAAAATCAATTGAAAATGCATAGAGAAGGATTTGGCCATAACCTAGGGTTTATGGAAAGATTGATTTTGGATTGAATTGATATGGAATTAATTTGAATTGCCTGAAAATGATGTTGATAAGTTGAAATTATACTTGAATCAAGTTGAAAATTAATGAATCCACAACCTAAAATATTCGATCATGATGAAAGAAATTAGGGAAAATTATAAAAAATTCCTATGGGTTAGAAATGATATTAAAATAATTCTACATGTTTTGGAATGTGATATGGACCAATTTATAAAATTGTGAAAGTATAGGGACGTAATTGTATGAAAAGAGAAACATGGAGATTATTGTGAAATTGTTTAATAAGTGTTGCATTATGTTTAATTAAAATGTTAAAATGATAAATTTGACATTAGGATGTTGATTGGGTTAAAATTGGAAATTTATAAAATTTATAGGACTAAATCACATACTTTGTGAAATATGAAGATTAAATGTAATCGTTTAATAGTTGAAGTAATATGATGGAATTTAGATGTTAGAATGTTGAATTCAATCTTAAAATGTGAAATTGGACTAATTTGAAAATTTGATAAAGTTTGTGGACTAATTTGTATATTATGGAAAAGTAGAGACTTAAGTGAAAATTTTGTAATTATTGAGGTATTAGGTTCTAATTAAATGTTGGAAATTTTGATTATGTTAAGTGAATCTTGAACTGAAGTTAAATTGTAATTTTTTTTTGAAAGATTGATGATTAAATTATAAGTTGTGGATTTGAAACAAAAATTTGGTATTAGTTAATGAGTGAAAATTTAACATATTGTTGGAATGTTTGAATTTGTTTTATGATGCTAGAAAAATTGAGATGAAATTTTAAAAAGAATTTATCCTATGATTAAAATTATGGTATAATGGATTTAGAATTGAATTTTGAAAGTTGTAATAGTATAAGAGTTAAATCACAAAATAGAAAAAGATTGAAGACTTAAATGAAAATTGTATAATTGTTAAAAAATATTTTAAATAATATATTGGAATCAAATATTAAAATATTGATTTAATATTGAAATGTTGATTTTGGACTAGTTTGTAAGTTTGTTAAAGTTTGGGAACCAAAACATAAAATGCTTAAATGGCAAGTTTAAAGGTTACATAATAAATATGAATAATTAAAGTACTTGAGCAGTAAATAATAGAATGGTGACTCTGATATTAAAGTATTATTTGAGATTCATTTGGAAATATGTATAAGCCAAATGATCAAATTGAAAAGGTGGAGAAATTATCGGATCAAAATAAAAATTTAGTGTAAGATTATACGAGAGGTTTAAGTGAATAGTAATAATAAATGTTTATTAGAGGGATTTGAAACGTAAATTAAATTATGGTTAAGTTGTAAATGACATTTTTACATTACTTGAGAAATTGAAGAATTAATATGTAAATGTTGGAAAATTTGTATGTTGAAAATTATAATTAAAAGATGAGAGATTGAATTTAGATCAATATGGAAAGTTGTATAAGATAGAGGTACAATTCGTAAGTTTTAGAAAAGTTGGTGGTAAAATGATAATTATATATAACTTAATGCATTAGATTGAAAATAATGTGGAAGTAATTGATATGGATTCAAACTGAATGTTAAGCAATAGCATATGTAAATTGGAAATTAAAATATAACACCATAATTTTACGCGGTTAAATAGTCTGATAATAAATGTTAAATTAGAAGATTTTAAAAGAAAAAATATTCCTCTTTCGAACAATATATGTTAAACAGAAACATATGACATCCTTAACTTGTATTCGAAAATAAATGTGGATTAAGGGTGTTACAATATGCATATATTACATTAACAATATAATTAAAACATTGTCTCAAGATATCAAATACTCCATTAATATTTCATCTTTAGACAAAATATTCACTTTAAGTGATATATGATGCGGTAACCAAACACTAATAATAAGAACATGTCAAGCAAAAATTTTCCTTTGGGCCTATTTGTTACTCACACATCAAACCGAATCATTATAACATGCTTATTACCAAAGTTGTACATGTGATTATGTCAAGTATTAATCTTCCTCTGGATCGATCAATACTAACATATCCTAAGTTACATGTACAAAACATGTATAAAATATTTTTCATAATTGATGTCACTTTAATGACTTATTGCTTAATTAAGTTGTCTCAAAGCAAATGTTAGTATTCAAATTTAATATTTCTATAACAATCAAAGTTCAAAACTGAATTTTTTTATTGCACTACAATATTCGAAATAACCCAAAATAAGATTGCCTAAATGGTGCTATCAAAAATAAAAAAACTCAAGTCTTTGATTGTTTCTGAAGAATTCCTTAAACAAGCAATCAATTCATAACTTCTTAAATTATCAAAGACAAACTGAATGTAAAACAATCAATATTTAACCAAGAGTCAAAGTCGAAGTAAATTGAAACTTTAATTAAACTGAATCGAATATATCAATACCAAATATATATTATTATGCGTAACAGTTAAAAACCAAAACTAAATTTTCTAATCACGTCATGATTTTCTAAGTAACTCATAATATGATTGTCTAAATGATGTTATTAGAAACTATAAAAAAATTAAATCTTCGACTATTCCTCAAAAATGAATTCATTGAATTAAACTCAAACAGGATATTGAAAACAAATTCAATTACTTTAACTAAATACAAAGCATTTACTATTCTTAAACATATACCTCATTTTTTAATAGAAAAAACCAAATTGCTTAACTTCACTTTAATATGAATATTACGAGTAATCCAAATTAGAATCTTAAGAAGTTTTTTCATAATAAAATATCAATTAACAGCCAAATAACTTAACCATAAGAAATTATGACGGCATGATTTCACAACTAAAAACATGTGCCTTTCTTGTCACAGTTTGAAACCAATTGTAACTAAATAAAAAATTCAACTGTACGACACGAATATTTATGGGTAATAAAAATCAAAATTTAATAATAAAATCATGAAGAGTTTTTGTTGAAAGTCAATTAAGGGAGCCAAGGAGAATCAATTAAGGGGGTTAAGGGACACCGAATTCGGTGCATTTAATTTCTATTAAAAATAGAAATGGGTAAATTACATTTTAGTCTCTGTACACGTTAGGGTATTTATAATATTAGTCCTTAAGCTTAAACTATAAATACCCTAACACATTTAGCTTCAAATTCATCCCAAATCATTTATTCCTCCCAATACTAAAGAGTTTAGAGAGTTCTCTTGTGAGTGTTTTGTAAACATCTGTAAATTCTCTCTTTAATAAAAGATCTGCACCAGTCTGGAGACGTATGCATAATTGACCGAACTCCGTTATCAATTTCGGGTATTATTTTTCCTCTTTTATTTCGCATTCGCACTAATATGGTTATAGGGAAATTACTCGTACAAGTTTATTTCCCAACAACTGGTATTAGGAGCTTTTGGTGGTGAATTTTTTCAGTTTTTCTACGAGGTTACTATTTACATGAATAGTGAATTTCATGAATAGTAAAATTTGGTTGGTGATAAGAATTTGTCGATGAAGGTATTCTAATACACGGTGGTTCGCAAGAATTGTCAGAAACGATCCAAAAGAAGCCAGATTCGAGTGGGAGCGATGGCTTTGAGAAACGAAATGGATGAGCTCAAGAAGGATATGCTCATATGCAAGGGAGAAATGAGTGAATGGGGTGTGCTCAAGACCATCTTTGAAGGACTTAGACCATGGGCGATGCTCGGGGGAGAGCAAGGTGATGCCCAGAGACTTTCGGAGGCTATGGCTGTAGCTGGAAAACTGACTGAGCTTAAAAGTGACAAGCCAAGTAGTGATATGTCGTCCAGGTGTAACCCTCTCAGACCAATACAGGTAGCCCGATCCGATCTAGAGTGTCATATTAGGGTCACCAGAGCGACCCATCGTAAAAATAGTGAAAAATTTAAAACTTTTCTTAAAACATGTAAACTCATAAAATCATTTATGAATAAAAAATAAAATTTATCATTATTCAAAATAAAACAGATTTTTGGACTCGTATAAATAACAAAATACAATTACATGCCCCCTAATCACATGTACCATACTTTGCAAGCAACGCCAGAAGAACCCCCTTATTGATGTCGATAGCTACGGTGATACAATTCTTTTAACCTGAAATGGTGAGTAATAGAGTGAGCTTCTGAAAGCTAAGTAATACAGAACTACCAGATGATGCTACAGGATATGCAGATAAATGGGAAACCATATAATTTCCTTATTGAATCAGGCGTATACCAGTTTGCAGAATAATCTGGGATTCCATTAGTAGTTCATCGAGTAAAAGCTATAAAGATCTCAGTTCATAAGAAGTATTCATGGTATGACGTTTTCAGGAGATCGAATAGGATGTCTAGTGTGTTCCAATCAAAACATGTGAAAAGATATAATTCTTTCCAAAACCATAGCAGAACCCTCCAACCAAACTCCATTATGCAGTTCCCCAAAACTGCATCCGTAGGGCTTACCCTAAGCACACAACAAAGGGAGCCAACCTAAGGATATGCCTTGGGGCCCATGGGCCTACCCAAGGGTATCCTTAGGTCCGTAAGGCCAGTTGAATCAAGGTTGTGCCTCCATACTCCAGAATCCTATCCATATAAAAATCCAGTAGAAATCAGTTTTAGCCATAAATCATAATACCTGGACCGTTATCCAGTAATATGTCATAATCATAATAATGAAATAAACCGTATGACTGATTTCCACATGTACACCATAAGTAGTTCCATGATTAACCCAAGGAAGTGCCTTGGGGCCTGAGAGCCTACCCAAGGATCACCTTAGGTCCGTAAGAAATTTCCAGCTTGATCAGAGCTGTATCTCCAGTCTACCTCCCAATAAAACTGTTCCATAAGTAACCAGTATATTTCATGGTCTATAAATGAATAACAATTCATAGTTTTTAATGAAAACAGTAACCAGAAATCACATACCATGTGGCCATGGTTCATAAACCAGTAAATCAATAGTTTTGTTAAAACTCTTTTTAAAACATATAAAACAGTCATGTAGTACATGTGCAACACACTAGAGTATCCAAGTATTTTTCAGAGGCATTTTATAGTTATCAGTATGGATAACATGAAGCTTGTGCAATTTGATCGGATTACAGGAACGAGGTTCCATTGGAGAAGATTGATTACTAACCAATCTAATTAGACACTCAGAGTTAATACTTAGAATCCCACTATGTTTTCATGTGCATCAGGAAAGTGTTCAAGAACGCTTGGAGTGATTTGAATTGATAAAGACGAAATGAAGATTCAGGACATTTACCATTTATAATAATCGATCGAACTATTAAACAACTCTATAACTGATACTTGTCGACTGCTCAATTCATTGTCCTTCTATGGTATTAACTCTTTAATACCAAAATGTATATACAAAGTTCATCTCCAGAACCATCGTTGAATATATCCTCCAATAGTCTATATTTCATTTCCACGTTTCAACGGTATCAAAAAAATGCTGACGTATTTGATTTGTGATTCGTTAACATAATAATAATACATAATGCAAGTTCATTAGGGTTCCTAGACTCATCCAAATCACTTATTTAATCCTCAGTCATAAAGATTACCTAATTCCTTTAGTAGTAAAGTTATCTCTGTTACTTCAGAGTTTTCCAAAGTAATTCAGACGTTTCTAAATTTCGAATACATATAGTACTTCCGTCCAGTTCAACATGGTCTACGTGGAAAATTTGTCTAACGAATATCCATTACTTACTATCGAATATGCTCTAGCGTTGACTTGAGTTGAGTACTTCCAAAATTATCATCAATTCAAACTTGAGGAAACGAACAAGTATTCAAGTGGTTCCTATGCCATTCAAGTATTGATACAACACTAGCATTAGTTGATCGGATTAAGTTGCGTTCTATAACCTTTAAGAGTAGTACAACATCCATGTTTATTTGAATTTCTTAAATAATCCAAGACATTTACTTAGTCTAGGACATAAGGGTATTTTGGTCCCTTTTATGCTCAATGATCTTCCATTCATTTCAAAGCTTGAGGATATCCATTTATTCATGTCTTGGTGATATTCTTTAATCATTTCCATTACAAGGGTATTTTGGTCATCTTATAGATCTAGAATATTTCAATCATTTCCTTCCGTCTGGTCATATTATTTAATTCAAACTTATCATTTATGTCAGTCCATTCGAACTATTCTGACAAAATATCACCATCGATAAATTTTTATTCTTCATGTACTTACTCAAGTCAGAGATTTCCAGGTTAAATGCTTTCTCAGATGTTACTGATGAATTATCAGGATTTTTCCATACAAAAATAGGATCTCAACAATCAAATCAGTAATTTATTGGTTTAAAAACAAATTCTCATGTTACTTTCTCATTCAGAGTCAACTTGGACTATTTTTACCTCTCAAGGGCATTTTCGTAACTTCTTAACCAGATAATTTCGGTATTAACTCTTAACAAAAATAATTATACTTTAGAGAACCAATGGTTAATTGCTTTCTCAAACTTTATTTCTTCTCGAAATAATTCCTTAACAGACTTCTAGTATCTTTCATAAACCTTATTGGGTTAAAACCCGATTATCCAAAATTTCTAAGCAAACTAGCATTTTTTTATGCACATCTGTAGTTTTTTCAGATAAATATATCCTTTCAGAGTTATTAGTTAACTTCCAGGGACAATTCTTGTCATCTTACAATATATGGGTATTTCTGTAATTTTACCCGACCAGAATATTCTCATAATTTCCCATCCAAGTAGCTTTGATGAAATAATTTATATGTTACAGATCCAACTTGATTCCTTTATCACTAAACACAGAACTTGTAATTTTAATTCTAGCAATCCATCAATTTCTTATAAAAGTCATCTAAACCATAATCAGTTACCGAATTTTTATCGTATTCAGATCGAGTGTAGAAATTAATTAACTACACATATGAGACCAATATTATATTATTCATGCATTTACCAATATTCACATATTCCATAAAGCATAAAGAGGTAGTAAAGTATTACCTCGACTTCTGTGCCATAATGATCGACCATAAAAATTCAATTCGAACGCCCTCGATATTTAATTCAACTTCCAATATTTCCTCGGATACATATCAACATAAATTATATAAAAAACGGAGCTTAATTCCGAAAAACGGATCGAATCGGTTGATAAATTAGTGAAAAATAGCTTACCGGGTTCAAATTTTTGCAAAACAAACTTCAGATTTGGACTGAGGACGTCGATAAAACCCAAACAATAACTCTTGAATTCAAGTTCACCAACTCAATTTCTAGC